GGCCCGCGGGGCGTCGGCGGCCAGGGAAGGCCAGGTGGGGGCGGCGGCCCGGGAAGTCCGGGTGGCGGAGGTCGCCCGATTGTTGGGGGAGCCCCTGGAGGAAGAGGGTCCCGAGAACAGGCCCAGGTCCAGAGCTGGCAACGCCGGGAGCCTGGCTGCGTTGCCGTATCTCCGCCTCCGTCACCCACTTAGCGTTTTAGGAATTAATTACCAGCAGTTCCTCCGCCAGTATCTGGAAAATTACCCGATAGCCCCGGGCAGAATACAGGAGCTTGAAGAACGCCGCAGGCGATTTGTAGAAGCCTGCAGAGCCAGGGAAGCGGCGTTTGATGCTGAATACATGCGCAATCCTCAGCGGGTGGATTTTGACATTTTAACATTTACCATAGCTCTGACTGCATCCGAAGTTATCAATCCTCTGATAGAAGAACTTGGTTGTGATAGGTTTATCAACAGAGAATAAAAAAAAGTGATGCAACAGCTCCAAGACAGCCTCCACATTCACATCAAACCATTCCTGCAACTTGATTTTGAACAGTCCGAGTGTATCGGGAATAAGACAGGACACAGTTGGAGCGAGAAGGAAGAATTACCGTGAGAAAGCACCAGAAAGTGTTTACACTGTCGACAGCCATTTGTAAGACTCCTGTAACGTTCTTAGAGTTCGTGATGGCTCCAGATTCTTTCCCCTGCATTCCAGAAAATGCCTCTCAACGTGGCTTCGTTAGAAAGTAAAGGGTGGTTTTATGAAACTGAGACTTGACCAAGAGAACTTGCCAGTATTAAAGCCCGTGATGAAGAAGGAAATTATCAGATAGTGATTATGAGGGCAACGAAGTACAGCGGTTTTCAGGACTGAACTGCTGTGGGAAGAATTTGACATTGTCAGTATGTGCTTTCCTCATGTCGTAATCATCAAAAATTTTTAGTGTCAGGCTGATTTTCTGTTTTCTGCGGCATGTCAAATGGCAAGCAAAGTAAATACTGTGCATATTCCATGATAAAGTGTGTTTTCAAAGATACCACATTTCTGGATTTTCCTTTCATTCAGTTAAGTCATCGTTCCCCAGACCCAAGAATATAAAATATACAGTGAAATGTGCTCCATCCTCATCCCCCCTTCACCCAGTCCTAACACAACTTCTGTCAGTGACTGTAGCTCCTTTCTGTCCCACTTTCATCCTGTATACACAAGCAAATGTAAACTCGGGGTTATTCTTTTCCATTTCTTCGCAAAAGTTGGCCCATTGCTTTTCATTGAGATCCCTCCAAATCACTGAACTTCTTTATTCCTTTTTAGAGCCGCTTTTCTTTCCATTCTGTTGCTATGTTGTTACTAACCAGAAATATACCGGTGGACATCTAGTTGCTTTCCACCATTTGCTATTGGCAAAAAATAATAGTAATAATGGCTATAGTAGTTCCTCTGCTGTGCATATCACGTGGCATGTATGCAGATACAGTATGGCTTCGATGCTAAATGCACTTTTCATATTTGAAAATCTCAAGTGGGGGTACTACTTACATTGACGGTGTAATGGTATTTTTCCTGAGGTTTTCATAAAACTTATGCATCTTATAATGCGTAGCTTAGATTCTTCGTTAACTATATTACATATAGGGTGAACCTACGGAAATGAGAATTCTGGACGAAAAAATGCATTTGAAACATTATAGATACTGCGAAGTTGCCTTCTATCACTTTACACGTCCACAAGCAGTTAATAAACGTGGTCATGTCCTTGCTGTTTAGCCAACACTAAACTATCAGTATGTGGCTCTTACCAATTTGATAGTTGAAGAAACAGTGGAATACTTTTAATTTGTTTTTCTCTTCTAAGTGATGTTAAATTTAAGAGTTGTTTACCCTTTTCTGTGAACTGTGTGTTCATACTCTTTGTCATTTTTCTAAATAGTTTTGTCATTTCTTTATTGACTCTAGTAGTTCCGTATGTACTAGTGATAGGAGGTATGATGATATCTTGTGATATGTTACAAATATTATTTTCTACTTTGTCATCTCTCTTTGACTTTTGTGAAAGTCTTTTGAGCATGGAGGTTTTTGTTTTGCTCCCTGTTTTCCCTTAAACCTGCAGGATTTTTCATCCCAGGGTTTTCTGGTGGGTGGTTGGGTGGGTGTGTACACACATGTGATGTCACTGTTCATATTTGAATCTTTGAACCATTTGGAATTTATTCTAAGCAGTAATATATGGATCCATTTTTTTAAGATGGCTACCTGGTTGACCTTCCTGGAGAGAAGAGGCTGGAGACTGAGTTAATCACCAGTGGTAATGATTTAATCATGCCCATGTAATTAAACCTTTATAAAACCCTCAATGGCAGGATTCCATAGGCTTTCAGGTTGGTGAACACATGGGGGTGCTGGGAGGGCAGTTCTCAGAGAGGGCATGGAAGCTCTGTGCACCTTCTGAACCCTATGCCTTATCCTGTATCTCTTCCACTTAGCTGTTCCTGAATCATATCCTTTATGTAAGTTGGTAATACAACTTTATATAAATATGTCCTATCTTAGTCCATTTTCATTGCTGTAGTGAAATACCTGCGGTAGGCTAACTTGATAAAGAAAAGGTTTACTTAGCTCCCAGTTTTGGAGGTTTGAGGGCATAGTGCTGGCACTGCCTTTCCCCTAAAGAGGCCTTCCCCTAAGGCCTCTTGACCGTGTCACATCAGGTGGGCCGCAGTGGCATGAGTGTGTGGGAGGAAGCCATCGCATCACCAGTCAAGGTGCAAGAGGGCCAGTAGTCCCTACTGACCTAGAGACCTATGCCCCACCTCTTAGACGTCCCACCAGCTCGGCACTCACACTGAGGACCCAACCTTGAACACAGAGTTCCTCGGGTGACAACCAAACCCCAACCGTAACACATCCCCCAAATGCTCCAAAATCTAAAACATGGTGGCAACATGACACCACAAATGGAAAATCCATCTGTGGCAGTCAAAAGGCAGGTGCACTGAAAAATATATGAAATTACTTCACGCTCTATGTATAAGGTCTGTGTGAAACATGAATGTCATGTTTATACTTAGATCCATCTGCAAGATACGCATATGTAGATATTCCCAGATCTGAAAAATCCAAAACACTTCTGATCCCAGCCATTTGATTTATTTATTTTTGTGTGTGTATGTGTCTTTTTGAGACAGAGTCTTGCTATGCAGTTGAAGATGGCCTTGAGCTTGCATTGTAGCCCAGGCTGGTCTCGAACCTGCAACGATCCTCCTGCCTCAGCCTCCCAAGTGCTGGGATTACAGGCATGCACCATGCCCGGCAGTTTGTTTTTTTGTTTGTTTGTTTGTTTGGTCCCAGCCACTTGAGATAAGGGATATACAACCTATTGTAAGTAAAGCACTGGGCCTGTAATCCCAGCATTCGGAAGGCTGAGGTAGGATCAACAGGAGTTCAAAGCCAGCCTGGGCTACATGGTAAGTTTAGGGCCAGCTTGAACTTCATAATGAGACCCTGGCTCAAAAAACAAAAGAAGTAAATAAAGCACTTTCCTCAATTCTGTGAGTCATTCTAGCAAATTGTTGAACTGGAGGATGATAATGGGAAACTAAAATTTGTAGTTGGCTCAGCAGAAGTGTGGGTACCCTGGACACCCCATTGGAGACTTGCATCTGAAGTGGGGGCAGTCTTGTAGGAGCTGTGTAGTCTGCACTAATTCCAGGTAATATTGGAACTGAATTGTAGAATATTTCCTATAGTTTTTTGTACTGCAGATTGAATTTTTTTTTTTTTACTGGGTATTGAACCCAGGGCATTTGTACTGAGCTACAACCCCAGTCCCTTTTGTTATTTTGAGGCAAGCTGTTACTAAAGTTGCCCAAGCTGGGCTCACACTTGCATTCCTCCTGTCTCAGCCTCCAACAGTGCTAAAATTATAGGTGTGCATCACCATGCCTGTCCCCACATACATTTACTGTCAGAGTGTTGTTAGAGCCAGGCGTGACGGCGCACCCCTGTAATCCCAGCACTCAGGAGGCTGAGGCAGGACGATTGCTGCAAGATCAAGGCCAGCCTGGGCTACAAAGTGAACTCAAGGCCGGCCTGAACTGCATAGCAGGACCCTGTCTCAAAAAGACCAAAAAAAAAAGTATTGTTAGAAGAAAATCTCAGCCTTCAAATAGTAGATAATATCCCTTTAAAATAGTGCGCTTTTATTATTTCTCCCTTGCAGAACTGAGCTTCTATTCAGTTATCAGAAATGAGTTATTATAGGGGCTGGGGATTTAGCTCAGCGGCACAGCACCTGCCCAGCAAGCGCAAGGTCGTGAGTTCAATCCCCGGTACCAGAAAAAAAAAAAAAAAATGAGTTATTATAAATTATAAATGTGAAATTTATAATATGCATTTTGTGTATTATATACATTGCTGTTATTCTGTATGTTAGATGTATTTATATTCTATAAATCATATGAATTCCAGGCAAGTTAATCACTGTGTAACACAGGAGTTTTCTGAGAAATTTGAGGAACAATGAGGACGTTACCAACACTTGGAAAAGTGAGCTACAGTTCCCGTGGGTTTCCCCGGGATTTGGACAGAATAAAAGGACAGACAGCAGGAAGAGCTCACTGTCATAGTTCTCCTCACAGTGCCCTGCCCTGCCTCCTACGGGCCGTACTTTTATCTTGCTTTTTTTTCTTTTATTCAGCTCAAGGTCACTCTGTAGAGCCGGTTTCTCCCTCATTCTTCACTTTTACTTTTTTAAATTTCAAATAAACTTTTTCACTGCTTTAAAAAAAAGAAGAGAGAAATAGCCATCCAAGAAAATGGAAAAATAAGTAGATTACAGAAATGCAATAAAAGCACTAGGCAACAAGAGTAAGGGCACGCTAGAAGCCTTGGTCAAGCATTTTAAATGAGACCAGATATTTCAAGGTTCTAAACCAGTTGCCTAGGTTTATTAGACCTCTATTATAATGCATCTCTTCTGGATAGCATGTACATAGGCTTTATTTTTTATCTGGAAATTATTGACTTTTAGTTGGTCTGTTCAGTTTATGTACATGTAGCATAAATATGGTCATGGTTAGATTTAAATCTTTTTTTGTTACGTTTTCCATCTGTGTTTTCTCTTTTCTTTCTTTCCTGCCTTCCTTCATTTAATTGCTTTGTTTTAGCTTGGCTTGTTTGTTTGTAAGAGGTTATGGCTGTGTAGCCCTGGCTGGCCTTGAACTCACTGGGTAGCTCAGACGGATGTACTTTGGTCGAGGTATCAAATAACAGAGTCTGGATTTGGCAACATAATTAAGAAGTTAGCCAGGTGTGGTGGTGCACACCTGTAATTCCAGCGCTTGGGAGGCTGAGGCAGGAGGATTGTTGCAGGTTGGAGACCAGCCTGGGCTCCAAAGTGAGCTCAACTGAACTGCATAACAAGACCCTGTCTCAAAAAGACAAAAAAAAAAAAAAAAAAAGTGAAAATCCTGTACAGAGGGGCTGAGTCTCAAATTTTGTATTTAGAATTCCACTCAAATCTTTGGCTAATCACTGTACACTTGCAGAGAGGAGACCTTGGAGCCCAAATAAAAAACAATAGCTGGGAGCTGTAAAAATTCTTATTTCAGCTACTCCTAAAATCCTGTGGCTAAAAAAAAAAAAAAAAAAAAATCCTGTGGCTATGGAAGAGACACAGTCTGAAATTCGAGTTCAGCCAAACTAACTGCCTATTAAAATAAAAATTACTCTTCAGAGAAAAGTAATGAAGTCCTGAGCCTCTCCAATGTACCTTTTATAATATACAGTATCCACTTTAAAACATACATGTGGCCAGGCGTGGTGGCATACACCTGTAATCCCAGAACTTGGGAGGCTGAGGCAGAAAGATCACTGTGAGTTTGAGGCCAGCCTGGGCTACAAAGTGAGTTCAAGTCCAGCCTGAACTGCAGAACAAGACCCTGTCTCAAAAAAAAAAAAAAAAGAATTTTAAAAATAAAATATACATGAGGATAGCCAGGCATGGTAGTACAGACCTGTAATCCCAGCACTCAGGAGACTGAGGCAGGAGGACCACAGCAAGTTTGAACTACGTAGCAAGACCCTACCTCAAAAAGTGAAAAATAATGTGGAGAAACAAAAAAAAAGTCCCATACAAAAAAAATTCCATTGAAACCAATCCCACAGTACCCAGGTGTTATAATTAGCAGAGAACAGTTTTTAATACAGCCATCATAAATAAATTAGATGATATGAAGGGAAATAGAAGTAATCGACAGATCAGGGCATCTAAGCAAAGACAGAGAAAACAGATGGCCTTGATAACCACATAGCTAAGCACCAGTTCTCTTGGAAACCACACCAGACGCTTGGACTGCAGGGCATCCTCACCTGATTGTCCTGCAATGTCCTGTAGGCTTTAGCCTGGACTCTTGGGAAGCCAGAGTTCTAGCAGGATTGCTGAAACTGTGGGTGACCTGGAGAAGGAGCAGGAGGCGGAGGAGGAGGTGGAGGCGGAGGAGGAGAATTCTGTGTGAATGAAAAGAAAACGGTCCAGAGGCACCTTCACAACGCCTCAGCATGTCTCACTGTGTGTGTCCTCTCTGTGTCTGTGTCTGGGGTGTAGTGGAGTGGAGAGACGACATTTGTTGGGTGAAAGAGACGAATCCTCCAACCCCACAGCTGGCCTTACTTGTGGGGCTGTGAGGGCGGGAGAGATGTCATCACAGATGTGCCCTGAGAGTTCCAGAGACGCACTTGAGGACACGCTGCCCAACCAGATGACGTCACTCTCTGGGGAGGGAAAGAATCTCTTATTAACGTCTGTACCAGTTCCTGTGCTGCCACCCGAGATGCATTCATTCTGTTCATTGCCTCAGAAGCCTCCCACTCTGGCACACTGTGGGCAGGAATGACAGAGCAAGCAGTTGATAAGGCAAAGGCAAAACAAAGTAGTCCATAAGCACATGGAGCTCTAGGAGCCAAGAGGAGACCCCTGACCGAAACTCACATTCATTCAGTTTTAGCATACACTCATTTAGGCATGCCACTGCACCAGT